GAAATGATATTTCTGGCAGATCTTCCAATGCACTATTGTTGCTACTTTGTCGTGCCACTGCTTGTAGTCAGTCTGTGCAATCTTCTTGCAGCAGCAAGAAGATTGCGCAGTGGTCCACTGTTTCTTTGGCTTCTTTGCATAGGCAGCACTTACTGTCTGTTGCTATCTTCTCAATTTTGACTTTATATGCATTTGTCCTTAAGGCTTGGTCTTGTGCAGCCAGAATTAGTCTCTCGGTCTCTTTCTTCAATTTTCCTGCTCTTAGCCATTGCCATTATTATTATTATTACGGATCATCACACAGTCAGCCAGATATTCAGACTGGATTTGGCATTTTGTCTACCTATTGAGTCCTTACCCAGGACCTGGGATAGGCAGATGTGGATGTTTGATAGTATTACAGATATCGTCGCAGGATGGAAGCAGTTCCTAGTAAGGCCGCCTTTTGCAATTGACTAATAGCGAATTTGTCAATGCCAATGGTGTTCAAGTGGTGCTCCAGTTGTTTTGGGATTGCACCCAAGGAGCCTATGACTATTGGTACTACCCTTGCTTGCTTTTGCCACAGTCTTTCTATTTCTATTTGTATTTTTTATTACTATTATTATTATTATCATTATTTTCCACTCCTGCCTTCTGATGATGAACAAGTCCCATAACCCATCAAATTAATTTTCTTAATAATTAAATAAATAAGTGGCTTTACAACAGAGGAAATAAAGAAAATATACACATTTTATTTCCAATCTCAAAACAAAAATGGATAATCACCCACCAAAAGTCTTCATTACTGATAGAAGGGAATGGCTTCTTCAAAAAAAATGATTTAAAAAAAGTATGGTCTGCATGTGTATAAGTGTTTTTTTTTTTTTTTTAAAGAGAAACAAACAAACTGTAGTCTGTTGAGGCAACCAGTGTTCACGTGATACCGCCTGGGCAATTAAGAATGATTTAGCAAGTACAACTGGTGGGATATCCACAATTCAAAAGCAAAAAACAAACAAACCACTGTTTATCTCACAGTGGACAGGGAAAGATGAATAAGTGATTTTGCATTCACCAATCTAGAATGCAACAGACATATAAGAAGTGAGGAACAATTGTGTATTATCCTTTCATTTACAGATATATTTGGATAAAAGAGTAGTCTCTCCATTCACATTATAAATTTTCTTTTAAGGATACCTTATATGTAGACAGGCATGCATACAGACAGACAGCAATGGACACAGAGAAATAGATTATGGGGATGTCCAAAGATTTTTAATTAATAATACAATGAGCTGGGCTACATTTGATTCACAAAAATCCTTGCTTTGCAATGTGGACATTATGGAACTGATTTTCCTTTTTTGTAATCACATCCCAAAATCTACAGGTCTTGAAGATGATACCACATTATTTATTTCATTCTTCTTCTTCTTCTCCTTCTCCTTCTCCTTGTATCAATTTGGAGAATTGCTCAGAGGTTATGAAAGTTCTTAACTGGCTTCAGATTCACTTCCTTTCACTGTGTCTTGCACAGTAATAGACAGCTGTGTCGTCTGGTTTCAGATTGTTCATTTGCAGATACAGCTGACTGCGAGAATCATCCCTGGAGATGGTGAAGCGCCCCTTGACTTTGTCTGAGTACTGAATTGTAGATGTGCCCATTCTTCCAAGCCATTCCTATCCTTTCCCTGGAGCCTGTCTCTCCCAATTCATCCAGGTGTTCCTCATGGTGAAGCCTGAGCCATGACAGGAGATATGAATGGACTCTCCAGGTCTTCTCAAGTCCCCTCCAGACTCCACCAACTGAACTTGAGTTTTGACACCTAAAATGAAAGATGTTTCCATGAGATCTCATAAATACAATAACAATGGTTGGAAGGAAAGCATACGTAGAGGGAAACATTATCTCCAAGGGCTACAAGCAATAACATCAAATTCAGCCACAGGATCATTTTGGCTCCATCTAATGAATGGAGGGGAATTGATACAGATAGGAAAGGATTTGGGGAAGTGCTCAAAATTTGTGTCGGTGGGTGTAGCCTTAAAAATAAAACCAACTGACTCTTTTAAAGGGGAAATTGTGTCTCAATTTACATATTGGCTGAAATGAGCTTCTCAGTGCATTTATCATGTTTTAGTTTTCCTTGCATGAGCCTTACACTGGTTATCTTTAATTCAAAACGAAAGAAAGAAAGAAAGAAAGAAAGAAAGAAAGAAAGAAGGAAGGAAGGAAGGAAGGAAGGAAGGAAGGAAGGAAGGAAGGAAGGAAGGAAGGAAGGAAAAATTCAGAAAGAGAAAATGAAAATAAATAGCAAAAAGTAGCTTCTGATTTCTTCCACAGCAAAAAGGAGTACATTACAGAATTAACTTTTACTTTATGATTACCAAAAAGAGCCCACTTTTTTTCTATTTTTTTAAATCATCAAACCCACAAATCATGATAATGTTTTTTTTCCTATTTCATGCAAAAATTGTATAAACAATTTCCAGTCAACCCTGAATATCAATTTTCTTTCTGATCAAAAAAAGTTAGTTTAGCCATCTCCACAAATTCCCTTATCCTCACCAAACATTCCTCCATTGTGTATGGTGTTGAGCCTTTCCAATCTGAGCATACTGGGAAGCTGAGTCGGACTCAGAGGAAGCACAGCTGGAAGACCTCAGAGACACTCATAAATGTAGACAGGTTACATGAGTAGGACAGAGGGAGGCAATGGTGTGACTCTAGGGGAGGAGGAGAAAGCAGTGAGAAGCCATGCCTTGGGGGCTGCATAACAAAAAGGGAATGTATGGGCAGGGCTGGTTGCTGAAGCCAGCCATTTGCAAAGAACTTCAGAGTCAAGAGATCATGGTCTGTTTATTTTGCCTGTGAGTTATTTCCTGTTTGACTTGTGCTCCATTTTGCTTTTGGACAAGGTCTCCATTGGAAAAGTGTTCTGTTGCTTTTGTTTTCTGGGACAATTATCAGGTCTGTAACTCAAATAAAAAGAATTTATTTTCCAGTCTACTATTAAAAGAGGGGTTGTCTTTCTGAAGTAATAAGGATGTACATAGGCTGGGACAGAACACCCTGCAGTTTTCATATATAAAATGGTCCCAAGGAGCCATCTTGTTCCAATGGGGCTAGCCTGTCCCACTTGCCCCAGTGGAAGGGGCCTGTTATGAATCCAGCCATGAAAGAACTCCTGGAAGTGGTTGTCGGGGTAACAAGAAGATCTCATTCATATGAGCCTGTCTGTCTCCTTGGTTCTAGATTTTAAATAACTTTATAATTATAATTGCAATTGAAGCTATATCTATCTATCTATCTATCTATCTATCTATCTATCTATCTATCTATCTATCTTTTTATTGTTTCAGAGCTGCCCACATTGACCTTATCATTGAGAGATGCAGGAGATAAATTACATAAATAAATAAATAAATAAATAAATAAATAAATAAATAAGAGTTTCACAAATTTTCTTCTAAATGCCTGTCCATTAATCTTACTTCTGAATCACTGAGTGATTTTTAGCTATTTTTTCATGTCTACCATACATAATAAAATGTCTCTTCATGTTGTTTTGAATTTCTAGGAAAAATATTGAAGGACATTTACAGATTCTAGGTCATTTCTCTGGTGAGAAACACCAGTGACACAACATTTTATTGGAAAAAAATATCAACTTCATAGTGAGGATTATGCCCTCTGAAGATGTGAAATTTTCATGAGACTGTTTTCAGTGAACTATTACAGAAATAACATAAAAATTATTGTGTCTGTAGAATCAGAAAATATCTAATGAGACTTGTTCTCTACCCAGCCCCCCACTGGGTGCAGAGGCCGTGGAGTTTCATGTAACAACATTGCCCCCAAGTGTCAAAAGTGAGGAGGGGAGGCATCTTCCTAATTCTCCAAGGACATTCTTTAGGCCCAGATGTTTCCTCAATAGTTGTATGGCAGTTTGGCTATTTAGAAAGATGATCATAAAGTTTCATTTCCTGCCTTCTGCCATGATACCAAAGGGCTACGTTTCAATCAAGGTTGTTATTGTTGGTTTTTTTTCCCCTGAAGCCAGAGCACTTTGTAAACAGGGAAGATGAAACTGGAATATTCAAACCATCTTCATTATTTTATATTTTCTTCCAGCAAGCTCTGTAGAACAAAAGAGTCCTAAAGTTCTCAGTAGAAGGAGAACAATCCTCAATGAGTAATTAGGATATGGGTTGGAAGGCAAGGGAAGAAAAGAGAAGGGGAGGGGAGGGGAGGAGAGGGGAGGAGAGGAGAGGAGAGGAGAGGAGAGGGGGGGAGGGGAGGGGAGGAGAGGAGAGGAGAAAGGAATAAGGGAGGGGAGGAGAGGGGAGGGGAGAGGAGGAGGGGAGGAGAGGAGAGGTCAGAGGAGTAAGGGAGGAGAGAAGAGAAGAGGGGAGGGGAGAGGAGTAGGGGAGGAGAGGAGAGGAGAGAGGAGTAGGGGAGGAGAGGAGGAGAGGAGGGGAGGGGAGGGGAGAGGAGTAGGGGAGGAGAGGAGACGAGAGGAGACTTATAATTCAACTTCTGCCCCCTTCCTTGGTTTCACACTACATTAAATTATTAGCATTTAGGTTATCCTTATTTTATTACCTGCCTAAATTTCTACTGATAGAAGAGGGTATGATTTTAAACATATTTAAACTTCCCTCTCTCTCTCTCTCTCTCTCTCTCTCTCTCTCTCTCTCTCTCTGTGTGTGTGTGTGTGTAAAGAAAGAGAGAGAGAGATAGAGAGGCATAGATACTCATACATGCACAAAAGGTGGAAGGCAGCAGATCTGAGAACTGAACTACAAACCCAATAAAAAAAAAAAGAGTTCTAAATAAGGAATACAGTGTTGTATCTCTAAAGATTTCTTGAGGGCACTTTGCCATTTCTGTCTTCTAAGCGTTTTTCTCTCACTCTCATTTTAACTATTCACTTTATTTTCTTCCCCTTCCCCTTGGAAAACAGCCCCCACAGAGCTGATACAAAGATCAGTTCTATCGTCCTCCTGGCAATCAGGCAGCTTCCTCAGACTCCCCTCATTGAAAAATGCAGCCCTATTCTGGGGCTGAATGGACTTGCAGGGCTACTGTGGTGAATGGCAGGTTTTTGCCAAGCTCCAGATTCACTTCCTCTCACTGTGTCTCTCGCACAGTAATAGACTGCTGTGTCTTCAGCTTTGAGGCTGTTCATTTGCAGATACAGCTGGCTTTTGGCATCGTCCCTGGAGATGGTGAAGCGGCCCTTCACTTTGTCTGAGTAGTAAATGGGAGTTGAGCTTGTACTTATATAGGCCACCCATTCCAGGCCTTTTCCTGGAGCCTGTCTCAGCCAGTGCAGGTAAGCACTACTGAAGGTGAATCCAGAACCTTGGCAGGTGAGACGGAGGGATCCTCCAGGGCTTCTCACATCCCCTCCAGACTCCACCAACTGGACCTCGGAAAGGACACCTAAAAGGAAAGGAATTTCAGTGAGCTCTCCTGTATACAAGAATTATCAGGAAAAGTATCTGAATAGTTAGGAAAGAAATACCTCTGAGGGCTGCTAGAAAGGACAGCAAATTTAGCCACAGGAACATTGTTGCTCCCTCTAATGAATGGAGCGTAGTTGATAGGAATGGATTCTGGAAAATGAAATGCACAAACTTTGTGTTGGTGGGTGTTGTCTGAAAAGGGGAACCATGAGCTTTAAAGGGGAAATTGTGACTCAATTTACATATTGCCTGTTATAAAAGGGTCCTTCAGGGCACTTGCTCTTAGGTTTCTTTGTATAGACTTTATTTATTTTTTTTTAAGTTTTTATTGCATACAAAGGAAAAAAAGATGAAAAGCATTGAACATGGTAAATCGTCTTTGACTGACATCTCCATCTTGTCAGTCCATATTGTACATTAATTATATATAATATATCTATATACAACTGTACATTTCTGGTCTCTGTCTTAACATATCTTTGCTGTGACCTCTATTTTTTTTCCTCCATCTATAAAATTTATTCCATATTCGATAACATTCTGTTTCTTCCTGATTTTTTAATATTTTAGTTATCCTGTCTAGTTCTGCGCAATACATAATTTTCTTTATTAGTACTTCCTCACTTAGTACTTCCATTGCTTTCTATTTTTGAGCAAATAGGATCCTTGCCGCCATAACCACATGAATAATTAGATATGTGTCACCTTTATTTACATTTTTCTCTAGTATTCCTAATAGTAATGGCTCAGGTTTGTATTGAAAGTTTTGCCTAGTCATTTCTATTGCCCATTCCCAGACCATACGCCAATACACCTGTGCTTCTCTACATACATGAAAAAAGTGCCCTTTTCTTTTTTACACTTCCAGCACATAGGTGAGTATCCATTATACATTTTGGCTAATCTGGCTGGAGGGAGACATGTGTCATTTTCAAATCATGTTAAATAATAAGCCATGTCCTCTGTTTTAAAGTTGTTCCTTTGCTGATAGAATTGGGTTTTGGAGATGGTGAAGCATCCCTTCCATTTATCCCTGTATCAAATAATATAGGGATCTTGATTTATGCCATCTATTACAGCCCTTTTGTAGGTGCCTCTCTCATGCGTTTCATGTAACGGATGCAAGAGCTAATCTAGAGGCAAGTCAGGAGAGATAGAGGGACTCTCCAGGCCTTCTCATTGGCCCTTCAAATCCCATGAAGTGGACCTTTGACTGGACTCCTGGAAAGAAAGGTGCTTGAAAGAAATCTCCTGTACACAAGAAGAGTAAATGGAAGGAAACTCTTGAGAGAGGGAAGAATTATCTCTGAGGTTTGCTAGTAAGGACGTCAAATTTCATCTTTGAGATTCATTCTTTCTCCTCTAATGAATTGAGTGGAATTGAGAGGAAATGATTATGGGAACTGACCAAACTTTCTGTTGATGTGTGTAGACTGAAAAGGAAAACCATATGGCTCCTTTAAAGAGGAAATTGTGCCTCGATTCAAATATCTGGCATAAAAGAGCCATCTCATTGCATTTGTTTATGTATATATCTTTGGATGTAGATTTCACACATGGATTTCAAATGAGGCTCGGTTTTAGGAACAGTCCACCATGGTGTTTATTGGGAGTACCTAGGAAAAACCCAGTTTACACAGCTTGGAAGATGACAGCCTGGGTTCAAGATTGAGTGCCATGGGATGGGGTGAACTCTCCTATTACTTGCCCCAGTTCCTGTCAACCTAGCAGTTCGAAAACATGAACATTCAAGTAGATAAATAGGTACCACTTTGTTGGGAAGGGAACAGCATTCTGTGCACCTTGCATATCGTCATGCTGGCCACATGACCACGGTAATGTCTTTGCACAATGCTGGCTCCCTCAATTAAAATATGGAGATGTGCACCACCCCTAGAGTCAGACACAACTGAACAGGGGAAAGGTTTACCTTTATGTAGAGCAAGATCTGATAGCCTTGTCATTTCAAGAAAGGGTTCTACGGTGACAGATTTTTTTTTTTTTTTAATATGCTGAAAATTATTTAAATTGCCATGTTGGAGGCCAAGTACGAAAAATGTGATACATTTGAATTCAGGATATTTAATCCACAACTGTTCCCTTGACCATGTGGTCAAGGGAACAGTTGTGGATTAAATATCCTGAATTCAAATGTATCACATTTTTCATACTTGGCCTCCAACATGGCAATTTAAATAATTTAAATTGTCATAAGGCACAATTTGAAACCCACAGTTGAATTGTACATACACAATCTAGTATCAAAGTTGTATCAAAGTCCCAAATCAATTTTGCTGAACATCTTATAAAGTTGATTTTGAAATGCACAAAATAATCAAGAAAAGGGTAAATGTAAGGAAACCAGCCCATCTTTTTTTTTTAATTGAAAATTTTTAAAAGTTTTACAAATATCAACCCTCACCCCATCCCTCCCAAGCCCACCCCTCCCTCCCCCCTCCCCGAACTTCCCAGAACTGAATATAGGCTTATCTAAAATTTTAAAATATCTAAACAAATTTTACATCTTATAATAATAAAATATATATAAACATTAATTAAAAAAAATACTTAAAAAAGAAAAAAGAAAGAAAGGAAAGAGAGAGAGAAAGAGAAAGAAAAGAAAAAAAAAATAAAAAAACAAGAAACGGAAAAAGAAAAGAAAAAACAATCTATACAAATTATAAGAAAGCTAAATGATATTTTTCCATATCCAAATTATATTGTATAAAATTTATCCATTTTTCCCATACAACAAAAAATTTCTCTTGAGATTGCTCCTTTAAGAAAGCCAAAATCTTTGCCATTTCCACCAAATAAGAAACTTTATAAAACCACTCTTGCAAAGTAGGCAAAGAATCCTTCTTCCAATATTGTCCAACTAACAGCCTAGCGGTTGTAATCAAATTTAACATCAGTATAACTTCCTTAGCATCACAGTCAGTAATAATACCTAATAAAAATAATTGCAGGGTAAATTTTACCCTCCTTCTAAAAATTCTTTGAATATTCCACCATATCTTAATCCAAAAGGCTTTTATATTTTTACACGACCACCAAATATGAAAATAAGTAGTATCCAAACAACCACATCTCCAACATTTAGGCTGTAGATCAGGGTACATAATGGACATTTTCTTTGGATCAAGGTGCCATCTGTAAAACATTTTATAAAAATTCTCTCTTAAGTTCTGTGCTTGTGTGAATTTAACATTCCTCACCCAAATGAGTTCCCAAGTATCCAGTGAAATTGATTCACCGATATTTTGCGCCCATTTAATCATACAATCTTTAATTAATTCAGATTCTGAGTCCATTTCCACTAAAACCCCATAAACCCTCTTAATATGGGTTGGTCTTTGATCCCTTACCTGTTTGATGAGATTTTCATCTTCTCTAAGCCATCCCATATTACAATCCGTCTTCCATCTATCCACTATTTGTCTATATTGAGACCATGAATAAGTAAAATTTTCATGTGTTAAATCTTCCAAAGATTTTGACCATTTTGACCATCCCATCTAAGTAATTGTATATAAGAAACTTGTATATAAGAAACTATACAAATTGTATATAAGAAACCGTACCCATCTTGACTCCTTTCTTTATTCCCTCTATCACATGCCAAGGTATGGCCCATAATGGTATTTTAAAATCATTTCTATAGTATTTCCTCCACACCCTAAGCAAAGAAATTCTTATAATATGAGATTTAAAAACCCGGTCCATTTTTTTATTAAAAATTAAATAGGCATGCCATCCAAAAAGTAAATCCCAGCCTTCCAAATGGAGTATTTCTACATTTGTTAAATTCACCCAATCACTAATCAATGTTAGTACCACCGCATCATAATACAATTTCAAATTTGGTACCTTGAGTCCACCTCTCTCATGGAAATCTTGCATAATTTTAAGTTTGACCCTTGGTTTCTTCCCTGCCCAAATAAATTTGTTAATACCTTTCTGCCATTCATTTAAGTTAAGTTCATTCTTTAAAATAGGTAACATTTCAAACAAAAAAAGAAACTTTGGCAGAACATTCATTTTAATAACTGCAATTCTACCCATAAGAGATAACTATAAATTATTCCAATTCTTTAAATCCTTCTGTACCCCAATCCACAACTTTTCATAATTATTTTTGTACAGTTTTGCATTAGAAGCAGATAGTGTAACCCCCAAATATTTTACCTTGTCAACAACTTCGAAATCTGTTAAATTGACCAAAGTCTGTTTATCACAATTGGTCATATTTTTTGGTAATATTTTGGTCTTATTATTATTAATTTTAAAACCCGAGACACACCCATATTGCTGAATCAGTTGTAATAATTTAACTACCGAATAAGTAGGTTGATACAAAGTAACAACCAAGTCATCTGCAAAAGCTCTTAACTTATATTCTTTTTTATTAATTTCTATTCCTTTTATTTCTTGAGACTCCCGAATTTTAATCAACAAAATTTCCAATGTTAAGACAAACAAATTATACGGAGATAATGGGCATCCCTGTCTTGTACCTTTTTCTATTGTGAAAACCTCTGACAAACCCCCATTTACAATAAGTTGAGCAGTCTGTTTTTGATATATATTAGATAAAACTTGTAATATATTTTGTCCAAAACTCATCTCCTTAATTAAACATAACATAAACTGCCAATTCAACTGGTCAAAGGCTTTTTCAGCATCCAAAAATATCAGCCCTGCAGGGACTTGTTTGTTTTTATCTAGATATTCTAATAAATTAATAATTTGTCTAACATTATTTTTCATATACCTTCAGTTATAAAACCCAATTGGTCCTTATGTATAAGCTGCTGCCAAACCCCCATAAACCTATTGGCTATGATTTTTGCAAAAATTTTGTAATCCACATTTAAAAGAGATATGGGCTTATAGTTCTTAGGCAAGGTGAGATCTTGGTCCTCTTTTGGAATCAAAGATATAAAAGCATTACGCCATGACGGAGGGATCTCTAAACCCTGTAATATATTATTAAAAAGCTCACATAATGGTTGGGTCATCTCTTCTACTAAAATTTTATAATAAATAGATGTCAAACCATCCGTACCGGGCGCCTTGCCTAATTTCAATTGCTTAATAGCTGTCACAACTTCCTCATTGGTAATTACATCATTAATCTCTTTTTTCTGATCTTCTGTTAATTTAGGAAAATTAGCTTTACTTAAATAATT